CCCCCCCATCCCCCCTCCCCTTAAGCCAAAAATATTTACCCACCAGGATCAACTACCATTTCAATGCAAATTCCCTTTTGAGTGAAGTCATTACTGTATACTTATGAAATGTAATGATGAGTTAATGTACAGGATAGTTACACCCACATGTACATTCCATGCATTAACTCACAGCTTGGGTTTAAGAGGTAGATGTAGCTGATCTGTACCAAAGAGGCGCAGCTGAAGTACCGAAGAGTTGCCGAATACACAATTGGCCGTATGGGAGACCATCCACTTTCACACTCCAATGCAGAAAACTTCTCTGGGGGGAAGACCTATCGAACAACAAAAGGACTGCCTCTCCCTCCGCTTGTGGAAACTACTTGTGATCGCAGGGGGGTAGAGAAGTCCATTAAGACGCTCCTCGTCAGCACACTACCAAGGCATTCATCACAGCAGACACCACCACACATTTCAGCGCACAACAGGAGGGGTGACCACGGTACAAAACACTTTACACGGCTTGCCTGAAAAGAGGAAGAGAGAGCTGTGCGAGAAGTTGTTCGACAACAGATGTTTCTGGAAAGTACAAAAACCAAATACTGAGTGTTACAGAAATACCTCTACCCAGTATACAAACCAAAGCCCCGCTTTAAACTTGTGACGCTAGAAGTCTGCACGCCCTTGTCCCACCCTCTCAGCACTGGATCGGCATCGGGGCTGGTCACTGCGCTTCTACACTGCCCTGCGTTTCTGGCTCCCTCTGGCGTACACACTGGCCGGCAGCTCCTGATGCTTCCTGCTCTCTTGGCCCCCTCTGCTCCTCCCCTCCACGCCCCTCTGGTCCTGTCCTGCCTGGCTCCACACTGGTCCTCCCACGCCCTCTGGTCCTGTCCTGCCTGGCTCCACACTGGTCCTCCCACGCCCTCTGGTCCTGTCCTGCCTGGCTGGCTCCTCTGTGGTCCTCCCCGTGTCCCGCGACCTCGCTCCAAGCCGTCCTTCGATCTTCATCTAATAACTAAGTCCATTCCTCCCCGTGATAACTCAGTCCATCTCCCCCCCCCCCCAAGAAAAAAAGAAAAATCTTCTGTCTTCTCTAAGTGATGAACCTTTTTTTTTTCTCTTCTCAAGAAGTCCATAAATCTGAACTTGATATTGCTTGAGCTACTACTAGAGCTCTAAGATAAGCTTCCATTCTTCAGCATTACTTGACTTATGCTATCTTCTTTCTTTGAATGCAGAATTGATAGCTTGAAACTTCAAGTCTAATGACTGATGGAAACTGAGCGAAAATGTCGATTAAAAAAAAATTAAATAAAAAAAAACTTCGCATTGCAAAATGCTTCCCCGATCAATGGGATAAGAGTGAAAAGACAGAGGTAAGGACCTCATCCAAGTAACAGCTATCAAACAAAAATAAAAACGTCTTCATTGCTTCTTTGACGCTGTTGTTACTTAATCTGTTCCTGATATGTTTTTTTTTTTTTTAAATAAACACAGGCTGGTCTAGTCTATCGTAGTTCGATAGCACCTCCGAGCTTACATAAACCCTCCGTTTTAAATACAATTACTAGCACTTCTCATAATCTGCGTCTGATCACGACAAGACATCCTTATTTTCTTTCTTCGGAATAAAAACGAATCTTCGAATATTTAACAGACTCAGTCAACTGTAGTTACATTGTGATCTAATCTTAGAGACCACATTGCAAAGTCAGTACTCTTTAGGAACCTAATTAGGCACTTAACTTCACTGCCTTATAAATTTCAAAAGTATGAAAAATGTTCCTCTGCCATTTTGTTGCTAAAAGCTTTCTACACCTTCTGGAAAAGCACTACGTGAAGGCTGATAATGGCCGTCAGTCTGACCACTCCCTTTTCCACTGCCATCTACTTACGTCATGACGTTAATTGAATTAGCCAATAAACGACGTTTACACGTTTCTACGTTACAGCTCCCATCTCGAGCCAACTGCTGTTAGTATGACCAAAAATGGTTACTTGGAATATATTTTTAAAAAGCAAGATAACCGCTAGACAAATGCTAAACATGACAGCTAAAAAAAAAAACAACTGTTGCGGAATAACTGACAATGATAGCACGAATTTATACATTTGGCTGGCTAAGCCTAGCGTTAGCTCAACAGCCCTCGGCAAAAAAACAAAAAAGAATCAGGCCTTTGTTCTGACTCAGTAGAATTTGTGTTTATCTTCTACAATCTTAATCATTTGCAATAAAGCAGTACTAAAAAGCGTTTAACAAACCGAAAACACGTTACATCTACAGATTTAAAGTACTTGCATTAAAATAATGATCAATAATGCTCAAGACGCTAAAATTAAACTTGTCGCAAACATTAGACTAGATAGAGCAAGGCTATACAGCTTCGAAAACAAAACCCGAACTTCAAAAGATCAAAAAAGGAGGAAAAAAAACAAGATACGGTCAACCTGCAACGCCCAACCACAAGACGGAAAAGCATCAGCGCGGTGTAAGTTGCGACAGCGTCACCAGCGCTATTTATATTGTTATAGTGATACGGCTACAAGAAAATGTGGTACTCATCCGCTAAAGTAGTCCCCTTTTTTAAACAAAAACAAACCCATGTATTTGTTTATTTTAGCTTTAGATTGAAAATAACACACGAACCAGTGTCCGTGAATAAACGCAGTACTGTTGAATTCGGTAATGAGGCACAAATAATTCAGATTTCTATTCTTAGAAGCCTTCTAATAATCGTTGCAAATAACACGTTGTTTGGGTGTTTCTGGTTAATTTAAACTTAATTTCACCATTTGCCAACACACGAGTGACAAAACAGCGAGGTATACTGTAACAAAAAATTAACCTTTTTAATAATCCTACTAAAAACTAACGGTCACAACAGCTGACGTCACGGGAAATGGTGCGCGGACTAATATTTTTTTAGCTGTAACAAGGCCCCGCAAACCGGATCAAACTAGAACGTAGCGGAGTTGTCGGATCTACTTGCTTTTTACTGCAGTGACATGCTGTTTTTTTTTTTTATTGAATAACAAAAGAAAACAGCTAGCTCATCTCCTTTAACTTCGATGTCCAATGTACAATAAAGGTTTTCTTTTTGTGTAAGATTTAGAAGCTACTGTAAAAAGCTGATGGTGTTTACAGTCTTTTTTTTTAAATCAAATGTATAGTGTGCTTTCACAGTTCATGAATTTCCACGTCATAGTTTGTACGATGTTAAACTTGATTTTTAATTCAGACATTAATGTTATTATAGGCTGAAAAGTGTACGCGATAAATCCAGAAACGTCTAGAAACAACCAGAGCCTTAAAATGTGTTGCTGGAGGAAAGGTGGAAAATTACTAGATCCAAGCAGTAGTTCCCGATGTTTACCAGCAGAGGGTGCGTGCAGTTAGTCACGTACCTCGGATAACAATGGGATCACCATGTTCCTCACACGTGTTTACATTAACAGGACTGCTTTTTAGCATTGACTATATCAATGCTATATCAAGTCTGGGCAACTTTCCTTAAGCAGCTATGTTTATTATGATGGCAAGCCACTGATCAGCAACAATCCAGAGTGGGGAGCTGTCCTCTGGCTACTTTCAGGCCCCCTCCCGAATCCGAATGAATTGATCTCTTTCAGAGTTGCCACAAAGGGTGCAGTCAATGCAATGCAGCGATTTGAAAACCCCTGCATTATCATTCAAGTGATAATCAAGGAAAACAAAGCTTTTCCAAAGGGTGATCGGGACCTTGATGTGATTAACTTGACTGACCCTCCCAGAAGAATAAACTGTGGAAATAAACAGAAAGCCAGTGGAAATGGAGGTTATATGGGTGTTAGAGGATGAGCTGTGAAATTTTTATAATGAGCAGACGTCAGTCCTCAACTAACAGTGTCATTTTAGATCACAATATTGATCTTGATGAAACAGAGTTTGTACAAAATCAAATAACAAGCTTTTGTATAAAGAACAGGAACATAAAGGGGAATGCAGCTGATGATGAAAAACCCATCAGTCACACACAGCAAACCAAATTACCAACCGTAATTAAAGTGGATGCCTGCCACAATAAAAAATAGTGTGATACAATTTCTAATTGCTCACTACTTCCTGCAATACCGCTCATCCCTAGAGAATGTAATTACAAAGGAGTCAGTGGAAAGGTTGCAGGAAACCTCTTAAAATCAATGAGGTAGCATTGTGCAGTTCAATAGCTTAGATATCTAACCCTTAGATGTGCTTTTTGTATATTTATAAAAAGAATGATAGTGAAAACAAAGTAATAATAAATATTGGTACTTTGTAATAGGATAGATGCCTGAAATTGGCCCACAGGGCAGAACAAACATATGGACAAATCCCATTCTGCAAAAAAGCAGAAAAAAGAACAAAAACTGGCGGTTTAAATGAGCCCAGTTATAGATTGTGTTCCACAGGGTTTGATTCATTTGTCTGTGAATGAGGACAAAGGTCATGCTCTTTCAGTTTGTTCAATGAGCACCCAGCTGTTAGCACATCAGAAGTGATGCAAAGTCAAAACACCACCTAGGAATTCATACAGTCCTGCACACAAGCCATGATTCCATTAGTCTGCAGCCAGACCCTGAGGAAGACAAACATAGTCATGCAAGTCCTTTAACAGAAGATATAATTACTAAAGAGACTTTTAAGGACTGAACTTCTTTTTAGCTAGATTAGAAATTAATTTGCATGCTTTGGTAATTTTTCATCTTCAGAATGATTGCATTCGTCAGTAAGATTGTTCTTTGTAACTGACATCGAGAGATAAGTTGTAGCTTTACAGAGGAAAAAGAGCAGAGTACCAACACGGATCACCCTCAGCGCCACCAGTGCAGTCATCCCAACCAGGACCCCATCGACAGACTACCACCAGGAAAGCGAGAGGTCATGGAGAAGTATTTTAAACCGGTTCAGAGCCCAGCTGAGCTGGATGAGCTCAAGCCACGGAAAATCCACCATCATCGCCACCATCACCTTCACCATAGCCAAGACACTCAGTCACACAGGTAGGATGGCTTTTTCCACACATATCTAATTGTGTTTTAGTCTAAATTTATTTGCAAGATTAAATCTGCAAGTTTATTGAGCTCGAACATCTGCAGCCTTAGACAAAATATACTAAGCACAGTCCCTTTTTACATGGTCAGTTTACACAATTTCCCTGTTTTGAAGGTACTCAAAGTTTGATGACACTGACAGGAACACAGATGACAGCCGAGGACAGCCTCGCCACCATCAGCACAGTCACTATCTCCATGAAAGCCCTCGCCACGATGCTCACTATCGCCGTCAGTTTCACCACAGTGAAGAGGATGAGATCATTTACGACCATGACACCCCTGTAACTCTCTCAAGGGCTTCCTCTTCTTCCCTCTCATCCTCATCCTCTTCCTCCTGGTACACAGAGTCAAGCGCAAATGATCCTTTCACTCTTTCCCATGCTGAGCGCCCACAGCATTCTCTGTCCTGCTCCAATATCCCAGATGTGCGCATAGGTTTCCGGGAAGATGAATGCAGTGAGCCCATTGTCTTCGCTACCGTCAAACACAGCAAAAAAGGCAAGCTGCTTCATGAAAGCTCACAGCAAAGAGGGAACACTGGCTTTTCTGCTCTTGACAGAGGTCACAGTCGAAGCGATGAAGCCTTTTTTCAGAGTAATGATAGTGGTGGAAGAGAACAATCTAAGCAAAATAACTATGGGCCTTTGTATAAGTCAGCTAGTTTGAACCGATGTCTGGCTTTCAGTGAGGAAAACATTCTTTTAGGGGTCTCCGGTGCCCCCAAGAGAGCAGTATCTTCAAACCAGCTACCCAGCAAAGGGATCCTCAAGAAGAAGGAGACTGATACTGACATTCGTAAGTCTAAATCAATGGAGGTGTTGTCCCCAAGAGTTGCTAAAGAACAACGTCCTGGGCAGAAGGGTAAAGAAATTACTCAAGCTAATACAGAGCAAGCCAGGGCCAATTTTCTGCAGGAGAAATTACAGTTCTCTGCGTTTCTAGATGAGATTACAAAGAGCGTTATAAGTCCATCGTATCTCACCAGCTTGGGTGTTAATAATAATAATAAAACTCCTGCAAAAACATCTGCCTCAGCCCCCACATCTAACCCAGTTAAGCCTCAGCTCCCACCAAAAAAAACCAGAAAAGCCCCAGAGGAGAAGACGGGTCAGCATCCCAAACTGGCCAGCAGACAGGAGAAAGCACCTTTTAGTAGTTCTCGAAAACACTCAGACTGCTCCAATCCTGACAAACTGATTTCATATGCCATGAGGAACCACCACGGTAGCCCACCGCCTCGTCACCACCCGCACTCTGCCAGCCAAAGCCCACAGCACGGAAGCAACCGTAAGGACAGGAGGCCTACATCAGGAGACAGATTTGGCAGAGGTGGCCCTCACCTCACCGATGAAACTAGCACCAGCCCTGAAACCAGTCAGTCCAAACAACTCCACCACCACCACCACCACCAAAAACAGCAGCATAGCCAGCATCCACATAACCAGCACTTCCACCAACAGTCCTATCTAGACTCTGGTCACCAAGAACCGAGCAACTCGCCTCCAACTTCAGCCCAAGGTGCAGAGGCAGGGGTCGGATCTGAGTCTTCATCCACAAAATCAGATTCATCCAGGGCCAGGGACACAACCTCCACAGCTACCAGCCACAGCTCAGATCAGAGTGGTCGACATCAGCCACAACATGCTGGGCACTCTCAGCAGCACAGGGTAAGTCCACTTTAAGCTGATACACTAAAATGACAACAAACAAATTCGTTTAGAGAGAGTCAAATCAATCATGAGCTGTTATTCACCACCTTTAAAATATTATACCCTGCTAATACCATTGCTATGTGTATGTGTTTTCATTTTGAAGTTAAAGTTAACTAGTATAACTAGTAAGATCCATCATGAACAATGTGATGGAGAAGCCAGTGGTCTTCAGTGGATGGATTTGTGAATCAAATGATAAGATATAAGGGTCCTAATGAGCCAAAGCTCTAGTTAGAAAGCCAGCACCTTTCTATTTAGCATTATATAAATATATAACACTAAAATTATTTTCTTTTTTATTATTAATCATGTCTTTTTTGATGGGCTGCTGAAGAACAAAGTGTGACGCACATTACACTGCATCAAATCAATGATATCTGTATTAAAAGAACAGAATGTTGCAGAATGAGGCACTGCTGCTGAGTCACAGGGCGTGTGGGATGGTGTCAAGCACTGCGCATTGCAAGCTGAGTCATTCTCCAGCATTGCAGCAAATGACGTTGAGTGCTTTTAGGGGAAAATTCATTTGACACTCCTTGATATATCAGTTTCGATTCTTTGTTTGCTCTGTGACCTGAAGGGACGTAACTACATACAATCACAAAGACAAATCTGCATAGTTCCCTCATGGGAAAATGTGTGAGTAATACAGAAGGTAGAATCCAGTCGTTCTTAATAGACAAACACAGACACACACACAGAGCCTTGCATAATTTTGCTTTTTTCCATGCTGTAACAGTATAGATTCTGGTCTCATTTGGTTTATTTGTTTTATTGAATTCACATATACGTACGTGTACAAAGGAGAACATCCTGGTTTAGCCTCACAGAACAAATTGATTATGTTTCTGGCACAGGTCTACCACAGCTCAATAGTTTATTATTGAGCTGTCCTCAGTAATGAAATGGTGACCCAACCCGGGTATATAGCCCGTGCCGGGCTCCAGCACCTATGAATATAAATAGTAAAGAATAGTTATAGAAATTATGTTGTTTTTGGAAAGTGATGTGACCTCATCCAGCCAATTGGAATTCAAATGAAACAATGCGGGTGAAGTTCTGGTTTTCTGACAGGGTGCTTGGGGAGTTTTCATATTTGGAAACTGAAGCTGAAAGCTGTTCCACACCTTCAAGTTTCATTTTACATTACAAAACAAGAAATGTTTGAATCACACTGCATATTTTACAGACTAAGGAGTCTGCTACAAAAAACATTATTATATCTAACTAACTAAAAACACTCTAAAAATAATCAACTGAACTAACAATTTGAATTGATACAACATACAAAACCAATTAAAATAAAGTGAAAATATACAAAATGCACCTATAGTCTATAGGTGCCCGAGGATGCACTATTGCATACAAAAGGGTGGCTGTGGCTCAGGAGTTAGAGCAGGTTGTCTACTAATTTGAACGTTGTTGGTCTGATCCCCAGCTCTTCCAAACTGCATGTCAAAGTATCTATGATTTGCACCTTATGTATTCACTAGAGTTTGAATTTATATCAAAGCATTTGAGCATTAAAAAGATTAAATGAGGCCTGCAGTCAATATAATTTCAATTCAGTTTTATTTACATAGCAGAAAATCACAGCAATAGTTGCCTCACAATGCTTTATATTGTAAGGTAAAGACCCTACATTAATGGAGAGAAAACCCCCACAATCAGATATGAACAAACACTTGGTGGCAGTGGGAAGGAAAAACTCCCCTGTAACAACAAGGAACTTCCAGCAGAACCAGATTCAGGGAAGGGCAGCCATCTGCTACGACCGGTTGGGGAATGAGGGTTAGAGTAGAAAACTGCCCTGTAGTACCAGTTCATATGTTTGTTGAGACTGGCATGTTTATGTAACTGTATGTCAAATATTTGCATTCATGTATTTTATCAATGGAATGTTGTAAACATCTTGGACCCTGTCCCTGAGAAATACCACTCATATTGCTCAATTTAGTGCAGTTTTAATATGTAGCTCCAATTCACAACAACAGTCACCTCACCTCGAGTCACCTGCTTTATAATGTAAGGCAAAGAGCCTGCAGTATTACAAAGAAACCTCATTAATCACACAGCCCTTTTTGAGCAAGCACTTGGTGATGGTGACAAACAAAAAGCACAATTTTAACGGGAAGAAACCTCTGGAAGAGCTAGGCTCAGGGAGGGACAGCCTCTGCTGTGAGTGGTTGGGGTTTAGGGGAAAAGAAGCGAGCAGAGAGATCCAGGACAAAAGGTAAACTATAGGAGAGAGTTTTAATTATTGCTAATGATTAAATGCAGAAGCAGTGTATAAACAATACTGAGAGTGAAAAGAAATGCGTGAAGAAGAAATGCTCAATGCATTATGGGAAGCCCTCAGGAACATAACCCTATAGCAGCATAACTAAGTGAGGGTTCAGGATCACCTGATCTGAAAGCTAGTTCTATAATAGAAGGGACTGATAGCTGAAGGCCTTGCTCCCATTCTACTTATGAAAACTTTAGGACCTACAAGTAAGCTCTCTCAGGATAATAGGGTACTATGAGGTCTTTAAGATTTGACAGGACCTGATTATTCAAGATTTTGTATTTGAGGAGAAGGATTTTAAACTTAATTATGAATTCAACAAAGATTACAAGAAGGAAAAACTAACACACTCTGCAGTACAAAACAAAAATACCTGTGTCTACAGAGAATCTACAGCCTGATCTCAGCCACCCCCTCCTTAAACTTGTTCTATTCCTTTTTTAGGATGTGCTGTGTGAGGCTGACCATCTTCAGTAAGTGTCTGTATTTATATAATCTCTCTCTGCACATGTCACGTTTGACTGCAGATTTCCACGCCTTTTTCTCTGGCTCGTTCGGTTGTCTCTCTTTATCCGGTTATGGATCAGTGCTTATTGATCACACTAATGCCTCCCCCCCCACACACACACATTCCTGTTAAAACAGGATGAAGTGTCATTATGAAACCTTTTTACATAACTATATGTCGTCAGTAATATGTTGTTGTGCCAGGGAAACCAACATTTAACAACCTTTGTGAATACCTTTTAGAACTACTTTTAAAACTAAACCCTAATTGTCATATCAGCAGTAATACCTGTCAGGGTTGTGTTGATGATTATTTATTTATTTTTACCTTAATAATGTTAAAATCTTTGACATTTCATTTAAAAAGCACAATTGACACATCCCTCTGTTTCTAATTCTTCCTCTGTGTTCAGGGCACTGCAGGAGGAGAATGCCGATCTCCACCAGAACTTGCTGCAGACAGTGGTTTGCATTGAGAGCCTGGAGGCAGAGCTGCAGAGGACCAGAGACGAGCTCAGTCATGTCAAGGAGAAATACAAAAGGTTAGGCTAAACAGAATTCAAAACACACGTGATGGCTGTGCATTGCTTAAACTCTCTGACTCATGTCCATAAATAAATACTGAGCTTGCCTCTACAAGAGGGCGTGTGCACACATATTGATTCCAGAGCCACTATTGAATGAACTCAATCTCTGGCTTTACTTAACACTTCCTATAGATGAATTGATCAGTGGAACATTCTGGATGAACAGCATAGGCCACAGATCTCCTCCTTGCGTGGGTGGAAATTCAGTGACATATAAACTGCGTCTTCACACTCACCCAGATTCTGTTAGGCCCATATTTATAACCAAACAACTGCTGCTGGCAGTCAGGCACATACCAAACATTCTTCAGCAGACTGCTGCAGCTGGAGTGAATGGTCGCCTCACGCTGCACACGAGTTGTGCGTCAGTTGTTGTAAGTTTATTAGGAGAGTTTGTTGTTGACATTTGTCTTGACAAACAGCTGCCATTGACTTGACTCAAAGATTGCAGTGGTGCAGGCAATACGTTTGACAATGGGCCTTTATGCACTGTGTTAAAAATAAAATTTAAGGATTTTGGATTAATTCTATTAGTGCAGAAAATAGATGAATGACATATTTTCCTTCTTGTTTTGAAGCCTTCTGCAAACACATACTGGGACCAAGCAGGCCAATAACTTGCTGGGGGAGCACCTGCACATAGCGGTGAGAAAACTGGAGATTTATAAAAAATCTATAATAATCTATAAAATGAAACGCATCGTTTGACTTTCATGCATGTTATCCCTTGTTTTTTGCATTTGCAGTCCGAGAGCTTGAGCAGTGAAAGGAAGTACTTGCTTAATCGTGTGTCCAACCTGAGCTCAGAGCTGGAAGACGCCCACAGGACCATTGCAGCCCTGGAGAACATTAATGTAAGCACACTGACATCTAGTGGACATCAGTGCACACTTCTCTCTACTCAGTAGGCCTCAGGCCCTGAGATTCATGCGAAATGCCTACAGACAAACCTATGGACATACTGAATGTTTATCATTTCATTATAACCAGAAATAACATAAAATGTAAGAGATCTTCAACTTTAGAGAGTTAAATATCACAACTAATTTTTCAACTCAGGCAAAAGTACAACTGACATTATAGTTTGTCGTCTATTTGAGGAACTCATGATACTGAGTGTGATTTATATACTGTAAACACGCAAAGTGCCATGTGTATGCCACTGTACACTAATAAATGTATTTTTAGAGTGGCAGCACAACATGTTATCTATAATATTTGTGTGTTTCCCTGTAGTGTTTTGCAGCATATTAGGAGACATTACTCATCTGGATCTCCAGTCAGTGCAAACAAAGTACTGAAGCACAGCTGTCCATCAACTTGCACATGCATAATCAGCTAAATGTTCCTTGAAATATGCTAAATAACGCATAGCAACCAATGAAAGATGCTATGTTGCGCCAGAGACTATGATGAAGCACTGAGGTGATGCTGTTTATGAAGCAAATATTTCAAAGTTACTAAAGCAACAGAATTAGATTTGAAAGCAGATGCATTCAAATCTTGAAATGTAAAGAGTAATGTTTACTTATACATATTTATTCTTAAATTTAGGTGCCATGCTTGATAAAGGAACTACTGGAGAAGCATTTTGATTCCGCTGAGGCTGTACAGAAGTTTCTCACAACCTCTGCTGCAAACAGCCATTCTGCCACCTCTCAGCAAACAGATGGCCAGCCCCACCCTCCTAAAGCAGACAAAGCAGCACATGATTGGCTGACTAAACCAGAGGCAGGTCCACAGAGGGTCACAGCTTTCACACCCTTTAAACAGAGTGTACCAGCAACAGGAAATGAGTGCGGCCTCTCGGGTCAGCATGAGCCGAGCCACAGCCTGCCTTTCTCTGTGGCTGAGATCAGCACTGCTATCTATAAGAAAATGGCTGCCAGTTATGCTGCCAGGCCACAGCCTATCTACCCCCAAAGCCAACAGCAGTTCTCTTTGGCCACTAATCATGCTGACACCCTTCCAGACCTCAGGCAGGGCCATGTAGCTAGTGATAACTGGGCCGGGAAGGAAGAGTTAAAGGTAACTCTTTTGGAGCAGGACACTGATGATGTGAACTCTGTGTCAGCCCAGCAGATCCTGGATGATTTCATGCAGCACCTGCAGTTACACAAGGAGGCTGGTGAAAGGAAGGAGCAACAGAGTGGGCAGAAGTGTAGGGCAGAAGTAACAGAGTGATAATGCCACAGGCACAGTGGACGCTCATCTTAATGCTTCGAAATGTGCATTTATTCATGTGTCTCATGAATATCTGTCAGATGGAAATACTGTATTTTGAAAATGCTGTGGTTAAGAAAACTTGAACATTATGTTATTTTAGGCTATCTGTGAGCAACAAAGGAGGGCTTTGCATAATAGTCAGAAGATTTTCATACACAAAAAGAAAGAAAGAGCCACAGCTACATAAAAAACGGAGAAAAATGGCAGTAAAATAACAAAATAACCATTTATTTTATTAAAAATATGCTTTATGTATAAGTTCTGTAGTATTAATTTACTGTCTATTTTTTTTTACCTTTTAGTTTTCTTCCAAATTGATAGTGCAGGCAAAAGGTCATGGGGGTAGCTGGAGCCTTTCCTAGCAGATAGGTCACCAGTCTGACGTAGCACTGACACAGAGAGACAACTAGGGCCAGTTTAGAATCACCAGTTCACCTAACGCCACTAATTGCACATCGAACCTTCTCGCTAACCACCTCGTCACCATGCTGCCCACTTTATACAGACTACAGAAGCGCTTAATTGTCTCTGATAATAGATTATTGACACTGATGGGATCAAATGCGATCACTTTTAACAAATTTAAAAAACAGTGAAAGACTGGGAATTTAAAAGCCGGATACCTCAAGGCCTTCTGCTGAGTCAACAATGAAACTATATTCAGTGAATGACTTTGAGTGACATCGAGAAAACAACATGATTAAGGAAGCTAATGCCCTTTTGGAACCCGCTTAAGTCTCGAGTCAAGGCATCTCTTTCTTAAAGCAGCAGGTTATTGTACCATCAGTGTCACTGGAGACTGTTTTAATCTACATTTGTTCATAATAATTAAACCAGACTCAGTTGTTCGTGTTTCTGCTATATATTTGTGTAAAAATAACTCTTCAGGGACTGCTTTGGATTTTTCAAACAGTCTAAATAGCCCTCATGTGAAAACCTCTTAAAATTAATAAGTGTACAATGAAAAATACTATTTTGAGTTTACTGTGCATTGATTGGTTTGTGTAAATGTCCAGAGATTCAGTGTAAAGGTCTTTAAATCATAAAAAGAAAGTCAAATATTATGATTCAGAAATGTTTTCTTTGTACTATTGCAAGGTCTTTACCTTACAATGTAAAGTGCCTTGAGGCAACTGTTGTTGTGCTTTGGCACTATATGAATAAAATTGGATTGAATGGAATTGTTGACTTGGGAAAATCCTTTCAAGCTGATGTAACTGACAAATGTGTACAGTTAAAATACAAAGACAGCTATTGTGATGGTGTTGATAAGCTTAACAGCACGTGTACACCTGGAATCGATGTGTTCCTTTAATTCTGTGCTTAGCATTCTTCTGGTATTAATGTTGTTTTAATCTAAATCTCTCTCTACATTTTGTCATTAAAAATACTTCTTCTTTGTGTATTTGTATCTATTCTACCAATAAAGATAGTTTTGTTGATGCAGTATATCAGATTACAAACATTTGTTCATTATTGATGATTTCTTCCTCACTTTCTTGTTGTCAAATTCAAATAATATATGGCATGTTTTTATATGGCAAAAAACAAACAAACAAACAAACAAACAAACAAACAAACAAACAAACAAGCAAAAAAAAAAAACAGTTGGAAGGTTGTGTTTTAATCCCCGGCTTCTCCAGCCTGCATGTCAAAGTGACCTTGGGCAAGATAATGAACTCCGTGTTGCATTCATTGAAATCAGAGTTTAAGGAACAGAAATGCATCTGAATGTGTGTGCTTCAATGGGTGAATGAGGCTTGTACTAAAAAGCACTTTGAGTGCTCAGTTAGAGAAGCCTTCAGTTAATCCCAAATGCTGCAGCAAGAGTACTGACAGGGACTAGAAATAGAAAGCATATTTCTCCTATACTGGTTTCTCTTCATTGGCTCCCTGTTAAATCCAGAATTGAATTCAAAATCCTCACATACAAAGTCTTAAATAATCAGGCCCCATCATATTCTAATGACCTTATAGTACCATATCACCCCATTTGAGCACCTCGCTCTTGCACTGCAGGCTGGGAGGCAGAGCCTTCAGCTTTCAGGCTCCTCTTCTATGGAACCAGCTTCCTGTTTCGATTCAGGAGATGAACACCGTCTCTACTTTTAAGATTAAGCTTAAAACTTTCCTCTTTGCTAAAGCATATAGTTAGGACTGGATCAGGCGACCCTGAATCCTCCCTTAGTTATGCTGCAATAGGTGTAGGCTTCTGGTGGGTTCCCATGATATATTTAGTATTTCTTCTTCATGTGTTAATAGACCTCTCTGCATTGAATCATACTTGCTTTTAATCTGTGCCTCTCTTCCACAACACGTCTTTATCCTGTTTTCTTTCTCTCACCCCAACCGGTCGCAGCAGATGGCCCCGCCCCTCCCTGAGCCTGGTTCTGCTGGAGCTTTCTTCCTGTTAAAAGGCAGTTTTTCCTTCCCACTGTCGCCAAAGTGCTTACTCATAGGGGGTGATATGATTTTGTTTTGTTTTTTCTGTATGTATTATTGTAGGGATACCTTACAATGTAAAGCACCTTGAGGCAACTGTTGTTGTGATTTGGTGCTGTATAAATAAAATTGAATTGAACTGAACTGAATTGAATTGAATTGAATTGAAGAAAAGTGCTACATGTATGCCGCTGACATATCTGAGCTACATTAAAATCTTTGTTGCTAGAAAGCTAAACAGGTTTGCTTGTAAGTTTTAAATGGCTTTCAATCTGTCTCACTATTCAGAAATATAGCTGCAAACGTTAATATTGATTGGGCTGTAGAAAATTATTAGTGCTTTAAGAGCTGATAACGTGACACCAGCCTCAGCCTAACTATAGCTCTGATTCAGGTTGTCATAAATACTTATAATAGCAGTTTAATCCTATTGATCCAGTCCCACCTCCCTCCCTATTGCACTATATTCATAATCCCCTGCAAACATAACTCTGGTCTTACTTTCACTGCACATGAAGCAGCTAACCTAACCTACCTCAAAAAAGGATCCTTTTGGGAACCATATTCTCTATATTTCAGTCAGTCCATTAATCAATAGATATCTAATCTGCCTTACGTCTGATCATTACATGCATTTTAGTGCAACCCACAGTATAGTGTTTTTTAAAAATAACACTATACCGTGGGTTGCTTTGTCACTGTAATGTAAAATCATTAATGGCTGCAGGTTTCTTATATTTAACTTCACACAAACAGTTTAAATGGAAATGCAAAATTTAAGGTTACAATTAATTATGAGAATAATGGTTTTAGTGCATAAACTGAGAGCATTGTAAAAGATAAACTATACCATTTGTTCCAGTTGTATTTCAAGTATAACCTCATATGTGTGGGCCTATTCCAAATGTCTTAGATTTTTTCTTCTCTAACTGCATAAAATATCTTGGCTCAGTAATAGAGTGAAAACTCTGAGTGATGCTGACAGTAAATTGGATTTTGTTCCATACTGCTGGACCCCACCGTATTCTTGCTCTTAGGTAAACAGTAATACATATTTCCTGTGTTTATTTCCTCAGACCTACAAGCCTGTGTTGATGGGCTTCAGGTAAATTCACCTGTCATAATAGTTCAATAGACCCTCCCATACTATGAGTCCATCAGATAAGTTTGCTGATCAGACACTGGCCTGCTTTCCCATTGGTTCCTGGGCTCTAATAGGATCCCAGGGACTCTACTGTGAGGATTACGGTTCCAAACTCTCGACTTTGGCCAGTTGTCTGTGTCCTCCAACCATGGGTACCGCGGTTTAGGGGGGCGCCGCATATGCACAGACCCGGAGGGGCGCCATCAAAAGACAACATCGCATCAAGGGGAAGAAATCACTGATTTCAGCTTGGAGGGGGGACTGCGGCGTTGTGACCACTTGCTTCAGGGAAACATCTGTAATATTTGTGAAAAGGATTATCCTTTTTCCACCATACTTTAATAATAACCACTTTTCTCACATTTCTCATCCGCACGGATTTGGATTATTTAAGAAAAAACAACTTTTTGAGACATTTCGTCAACCCAGTGAAAGTTTTTGGATTATCTTCTAAGGTCGACTTTGTCCTCTACCATCTCAGGGATATACCTGCTTATCCCCTCCACCTGGAACAACTTAGATGAGCTCAACGCACTAATAACTAATCAAACGACCAGGCCTGGACTGACCACTGACCAATCCAACAACACTGAGTCCACCGTATTTTGAGCTCCATGGGTTTGTCTCCATAAATGCAGCTGGCCACCTCTGGATAGCATCAGTTTTGACCAGAATAGACTTGCTCCGCTCCATCCAGCTCCCCCTCTCTTTCTTTTTTCTCTTTTCTCTGTGGTGGCCTGTGCATAATAGTGAGCCATGCTGCTGAAAATTACGTTCACCCAGCAGAGGCGAGTTCGTCTGGCCCAGGGCCTGTGGCTGATGTCCTGGCTGGCAGTGATGAGTGGGGCCTTCATCTTTTGTCTTGGTGTTTACCTTAAGACAGAGCTGCTTCGTAGGGCAGAGGTACAGAAAGCGATGCTTGCATGAATGCAAACACACACATGAAGCAATGCAAGCTAGAAGGCCAGGTGGAGCTAACGTCTAGTGCATGAATGTATTATAGGTTGAACAAATATAGGATTGTATGCTCAGGCATCTGCCTTTGCTAAGTGTTGTTTACTGAGCCTGCTGTGTCACTTTTTTTTAAACTTAGCTTCAGCGTTTAATCGACAAATACAAACACACTGCACGCAAGTGTAAACATGCACATTCATGCATGTTAAGTCATGTAGGTGGAGTTGGCTGAAAAACGTCTTTGTAATGTCAACACTTTTCCCATGAAAATCATATGTGTGTGTGTGTTTGTTTGTGTGTGTGTGGATTGTGCATTTTGTTTAAGCACTGTAGCCATTTGTCTTAATGGATCAGTGATCAATTAGACAGACTTAGTGAACTGATATTCACAGGAAAGCTGCAATGAGAGGAGGCCTTCACATATTTATTGATCTAAAGTGAGAAGTGCTCTTAGCTAATCTTAGGTAATCATTTTTCCCAAGGTGGTGGTGAATGGCTGGGAAAAAAACAGAAGACATATTTGCTCTCTGACCAATGAAATGGAATCAGGAAGCTAAGGCTCTAACAAATGATTCATTAGAGCATAATCCTCCTTTATCATCTGTAGACAAATACCTCATTTGTGTACTCTGTTTTGGCCTCTACTGCACTCAGTGGGAAAACTGAGTATTCTAGATGGAGCTTAAAATATTTCTTTGCAATTTCATTTAGAGAGATTATTTGTTCTAAAGCCAAGCTGGCTGGACAGATTTTACAGGATCACGTTAGCCACCGGACTGTAAATGTAAGGTATTTTTTAATGGTAATTTTAAAACAACAATTGGACAAAGGTGCTTTGTGGCTGGCAGGCTTTTGCAAACTCAGCCAATAATAAACTCAGTCCATAATTGACTTCTGCAGTAACACGAGCAATGGATTAAATTTATCATCATATTTCCATGTAGACTTTGCAGCTAATTGAATCTTTTGGCTGCCAAGGTCATTTTAGACTAGATAAGGATAATTGAACAGAGGATTATTGCCTTCTAAATTGAGTGGAGGAAATGACAAAGAGACCTGCAGCTGACTGCCAGTGTTGTGCCAACTATTATCTTTGACTTTGCTCTTCTTCTCTTGAGGTGATGGACAACACAGAGATCCACATGGTACCCAACATCCTGATGATGGTGGGCCTGGTCTCCATTGGCACCAACTGGGTTGCCACTCGTGTGTGTCAGGACTCCCTGGATGCGAGCCGCTTCCCCCGTTGGAAGTTGCTCCTGATGGCCTGGTTTGCTGTAGCCATGTTACTCTGTTGTCTCCTTCTTGCTGTGGTGGTGCTCAGCTATGCCCTGCAGGGACGCCTGGAAGAGTCCCTGAAGGTGGGTTCACTGGGCTGGGTAAAGATTAAAAGGAGGGTATAAGTAGTTTACCTCCAGTGTCAAGCAAAACATTAGGAAACTCCTGCTTCCCTATAAGTTGCTGTAGACAAAGCCAAAATGGGAGAGCAATTTGACCAACAATCAAACATTCTTTTTAAAACCAGCTCAAACTGCTCTGAAACTCCAACGACTTTTAAAGATAACACCTTCTCCTTCCTACACTTTTCTCTCTTCAATGTCAGGTGGGACTGAGGAATGGGATCCGCTTCTACAAGGACACAGACGTGCCCGGCCGCTGTTTTCAAAAGGAGACCATTGATCGTCTGCAGATGGAGTTCCGCTGCTGTGGAAACAACAACTTCAAGGACTGGTTTGAGGTTCAGTGGGTCAGCAATAGATATCTGGACTTCACCTCCAAGGACGTCAAGGAGTGAGTGAATGATGATTCACAGAAAGAAAGAGAAAAAATGATGAGGGGTATACAGCGAAGAGAAGCAAAGAAAATAGAGGTCTACATGAGTGAGAGATAAGCAGATTTCACATCCAGA